TTACATAAATTGTTGAAATTACAAAGGTTTTAAATTTTTACATATTCGGCCTCCTAAGGGCGTGGCCAGCGTGCTTCCGTGTACTCACACTATTTGAACAACTTACTTTGCACGGCTCTCGGCTATCAGAAAAATGAAATTCTGAAATACACCAATTTTATCAATATTAGGCAAATTAAATGCTTTTATACAATTTTCGAACTGTAGGAAACTATCTTTAATCAGATTCTTATCAGTTAACAATATAAATGAATGTTCTCATTAATTAATCATAGCAAATAGGCATTTGTTTTTGTACAAAACATATCAAACTCATACAAAACAATACTTATGCAATTAATTTTCATTATTTCTGTTTATGCACAGAGTGATTATCTCTACCGGGGAACAAATCCGATCTCTAACTTTATTTAAATATTCCTTTAAATTTACATCATTGGAAAGATGATTTCAACCGGGGAACAAATCCGGTAACATAATTTATATCTTAAATTCCTTATGAATTTATTAAGCGATATTACTTAGGAAAGCAAATAAACTAGTCCGGCCTGGGAGTCGAACCCAAGACCTTCATATCATTAATTCGACATTTCTTTAAGATTTAACTAAGCATTTTCTTATCAGAGCGTCGTTGCTCGATAATTTGCTTTTTAAAGCTATACGTCATCGGTTGACTTAATAAACCGAAACATTCTTATAGGCGCGTCGCCAACAATCCCATTTAAATGTCTTACTTTTAACTTCCTATATTTTCAGTGCTTTGTAGCACCCATAACACCTATGACCATTATAACAGGTTGATTCAACATGTATCTGTATTCTTCGTCAGATGTTAAGTCAACTGTCAGAAATGCACCTGTTTTGATGGAACTAATATGGAATGCTTTGTTTCCAGTAAAGTCTCCAGATGTCTACACTTATCATACAAAACACAGCAGTATTAGGCTGCTATTTTACGTGGGCATTTAATGAGAGTGTGATTCTACCCTAGTCATAAACCATAATAAAGCTTCATGTGGTATATGACTACAACAGATGATGTTAATCAATCAATCATCTTTTATTTGCCAACCAAGTGTACATAAATGGTCTTATAATAATAACAATTTGTCTTTATTTAGGCATTGCAAATTTGAGAAAGTATAGATAAAATAAATTATTAAATACAAACATTATAGAGAAATTACATTAATGATCAATAATATAGTCTAATATATGAACAATAATAAATCACGCAAAATATAAAGGTATTTGTGACATTTTACATAAACACATAATTTTTCTTCTACTGATACTGTTCATAATATTACTGTGTATCAAAACGGCTTTTTTATGTATTTTATTTGTGTTAAAAATATGTAATTTGTTTTTTGTGTTTTGTTACTAGTGCTTCAATGTATTCTTTGATTGAGTAGAAACATTTTTCAATTAAGTAATAATAATGCTTTTAGTTTTTTAATGAATAGTGTAATCTTATTTTCAGTTTTTGGTTAATATTTCCAATATGGACCATCGATTTCAAGGCCCATATTTTTTTTTGTAGATAGTACTCACTAAAAGAAAGCGTTTTGCAAAGTTTTAGGTTGCGGAAACTTACGGTTCATGAGATATATTTTTTTAAACTTTTCATACAAATTGGCAAATAACACGCAATTACACCAATTACAAAATAAATTTGACAAATAATTGATGTCAAACGTCAATTAGTGTAGGGTTCCGAATATTTTGAAAGTATCGATACGTACTCCATACCATGTGTCGTATCAAAAGTATCAATACTACTTGGTATCGAGTACATTTCGTTAATTTTGGAGACTAGGGGGGTAAGAAGTCGGGAAGCTGCTGCTGTGCTCCGGCGCTCCATGGCAGCTCTGGCGCTCATATACACTCTAGGGGTAGGGCAGACAAGACCACGTGGATAGTGGGGTGCTCTGATTCGGTTTTGGGTACTTTTTGGATATTAAATAAGTAAGTAAACACTTTATTGTAGTAAGAATTAGATAATACAGAAAGTCGCAAATAATAAAATAAAAAAAAAAAAAAAAAAAAAAAAAAATAAAAAGAAGGAGTATTTATAAAATTTTTTTTTTTTTTTTTTCTTCTTCTTTTTATCTTTTTTTTTTTTTTTTTTTTTTTGTTTAAAAAAATATATCTCATGAACCGTAAGTTTTCGCAACCTAAAACTTTGCAAAACGCTTTCTTTTGGTGAGTACTATCTACAAAAAAAAATATGGGCTTTGAAATCGATGGTTCATATTGGAAATATTAGCCGTTTAACTGCCATGGAATATGGTCCAGAACTGTATAAAAATAAAGTGGTTTTAGGCAATATTGATATATTTCTCTTCGTAAGTTGTATATTACATCTATTTATATTATCGTCACTAGCTTTTTGAAATATATCTTAGCATTTTCTTACTAATTTTCATGATTCTAATAGGTATGTATAAAGATGTAACTGTTAATATCTTGTATTGTATAAAATGTAGTCTACAGCTTCCCTAGTCAATATTTGCTAGAACTCTTATTTTGACATTTGATACATTTTTAATTTTGAGGTGATTTATGTTCTTGAAAACAAATATGAAAATATCAAATATGTATAATGATAGTAGTGTGAGGATGTTATGTTTAAAAAGTAGAGCCTACAATTGTCAAGATCTTGTAATCAACTCACCTGCCAAGTTTGAAAACCAAGGCATATACACTGCTCTTGCGGCAACTGTGACAAAATCTTCCCTAAGTGGCAATCTATGGGGGATGCCTATAGTCAGCAGCAGGCTTTCATAGGATATATATTTATAGGAATAATGAATTAAGAAAAAATAAATAGAAAAATTACTGAACGGTCGTGATCTCAGCTTCTGTAAACAATGTGAGATATGCATCCTGGTAGGGTAGTTACTTTGATCTTCGATCCTGGTGAATACCAGATTTATTCTGGATAACAAACCGCAGCTCAGTGTCGGTAGCACACATCATCATCATCAGCAGCAGTCCACTGCTGGAAATAGGCCTCTCACAAGGCGCGCCACTTAGCCCGATCTTCGGCTACATGCATTCAGTTTTTATCAGCCACCTTGCGAAGATCGTCGCTCCATCTGGTCGGGAGGCGTCCCACACTACGCCTAGACGCGGTCTTCACTCCATAACACATATGTAATAAAAAGTAGCACACATGCAACTTATTATTATGTAAGTTCTTGTACATAGATTACTGTATTTCTTTATGTTCTTGTACATAACCTTTGAATTTTTTACATATTTAACTTTATGTCTAGACATGGGTAAGTAATGCATGTTATATTACGCGAGTAATATTACCACAGAATACATTTACACTGACGGGAATATTACTCGGAGAAGTGATGCAACATTACTCATTACGCGTCAAATCCAACTATTACACATCTCTCACATCACCCACCCACCCGAAAGCCCGAAACCATGAAACGAAAAACGTCGCGCGCGATCGGTGTCATTCGGGCATACTCGGGCTCTGTCGTGACGTACGAAAAACGCGCGAGCTTCGCGCCGCCCCGCGCTTGTGGTCCGCCAATTCCTGGAATTTCTCGGCGTAATGTATGCAATTTTGGTGTTTATTATAAATATACAAAGGGCCATTTCTCCGTAATTATTTTTATGCATTAATGGTTTAATGTAATAATAGGTTAGCTTATTCAGAATTTAGATTTGTTTGACTCAGGTCAGAGGTCAGTCGGTCAGTGTTGTATTTTACTAATAGTAATTGCACGCGTACGTACGTTAGTTACGAGAGATAGTAAATTCGGAGTTAACTGGTGGTCGTAATTAATTATTACGTACAGTAGGTATTGTATTACTAAAACGTTTTTCATCTTAAAACTATTTCATTAAAGACGAAGTATAAGTACAAAGTGTAATATTAACCAAAAATGTGTGTATATAAACTCTTTAGTTAGTGTTAAGCAGAGAATTTTACTTACAGTGCAGTATGACACTAAATTAGATACTTAGCTAGGTATCTTTTTTGTGTACCTAGGTATCTTTGTTGTGTACCTAGGTATTCACGTGTGACTATTAATTAGTGGTGAATTTGTTACCTAAAAAGTGAGAATATGGCATCAAAACGGAAATTTAGTCCTCTCTGGAACCATTTTGACAGCACGGAGCCGAAGAAAGCTAAATGTAACTATTGCTCAAAGATACTAACGTTATCTTCCAGTTCAATTGGGACCTTAAGTAGGCGCATGAAAAAAGTCCATCCGACGGTAAATATCGCACCGAAAAGGCTTGAGTCAATAGACGAAAGCGAAGAAAATTCCAAACAAAATGTACAAATGGCCATCACAAGATCTACAATATCAGTGGTGACTACAACCACTTCTTCTGGGACCAGACCAACTGTAACAACAGCTAACATTATATCAGCTACAAAGGGTAAGGTGGCCGCAACTACAGTAAAAGATTACATCGTTTTGAAATTTTAATAAACATACCTAGTTATTTCGCTGTAATGTTATTTATTGATTGGCGGCGCTACTGGAGGCTCGGTGCGCTCTTATGCAAATCTTGAAACGTCGTTGCTATGAAAGCTATTCTCGGATTTTACAAATTACTGAATTTTGGTTTTGCGCATTGCACTTCGATTCCCTTTCGAAAATGGCAAATATTTAACAAAATAGCTACTCCATTTGGGAAAATCAAAAAATCATCGAACCTGTAATTTTTTTGTTTCAGATTTATCACCTACACGTCATGCAGAAAGATGACTGATTTTCTAGATATCGATAGTTTTTTGCAAAGAAACGATTTTGAAAGTTTAAACCAAAAAAGTGGCCTTGGTTAATAACCCACTTCATACTTGAAAAAAGTTGTTTTAATTGTAGCTACAGATCAGATATTAGCTATCCGGTAGGTATTAGGTATCTTTTTTGTGTACCTAGGTATCTTTTTGTGTACCTAGGTATTCACGTGTGACTATTAATTAGTGGTGAATTTGTTACCTAAAAAGTGAGAATATGGCATCAAAACGGAAATTTAGTCCTCTCTGGAACCATTTTGACAGCACGGAGCCGAAGAAAGCTAAATGTAACTATTGCTCAAAGATACTAACGTTATCTTCCAGTTCAATTGGGACCTTAAGTAGGCGCATGAAAAAAGTCCATCCGAAGGTAAATATCGCACCGAAAAGGCTTGAGTCAACAGACGAAAGCGAAGAAAATTCCAACCAGAATGTACAAGTGGCCACCACAAGTTTTACAATATCAGCGGTGACTACAACCACTTCTTCTGGGACCAGACCAACTGTAACAACAGCTAACATTATATCAGCTACAAAGGGTAAGGTGGCCGCAACTACAGTAAAAGATTACATCGTTGTCAAAAAACCTTCCTTCCACTAATTAGGACGCAACAGCTGGACGAGCAGCTAATAAAAATGATAACCAAAGGCTATCATGCCTTCAGACTTGTGGAAGAGAAGGAATTTCAAAAATTCGTGGACATGCTTAATCCTTCATATAAATTGCCCACTCGTAAAACTCTTTCTGAAAGCCTTCTGCCCAAGTTATATAACAGGACGATCGAAAGTATGAAAAAAGGAGTTGGTGGTGGGTCAGCCACTGCCGTTTGCATTACTACTGATGGATAGCGCTCAGTAACGAATCATGATTATATTGGCATCACGGTCCATTTTATCGATCCCGAAACCCACATTTTACGTACTGTCATGATTGGTTGTTTACAGTTTAACGAGAGTCAAACAATGATAAACATATCGGAATTTCTTAAAGAGGAATTTCGTGAATGGTGCATTGACCAGAAAATTTGCGCGATTGTCAGCGAGAACGCGTCTAATATTCTGGGTGCCGTGTGAATCGGCGGGTGGCGTTCTATAAGCTGTTTCGCACATACTATCAACATATTTGTGAAGGACAGCCTAGAAATTATCGCTGATACCGTGATCAAGGTGAAAAATGTGGTGGAGTTCTTCAATAAAAGCATGCCTGCGCAGAGAAAACTTAAAGAGATACAGGAGCAAATGCATTTGGCACCACTGAAATTGAGACAAGACGTGTGCACTAGATGGAACTCTACGTACGATATGCTCAACCAGTTCCTGAAGATAAAAGAAGCTCTTATTGCTTCAATAGCAATCATGAGAGCCGAATTGGCCCTGACGCCCAACGACTGGATGATTATTGAAAAATCCCTACTGATCTTGTTCATCTTCTACGAGGTGACTAATGAGGTTAGTACTGAAAACTACGTGTCCGCATCCAAATATATAGTGCTGTGCAAAATAATGTACGTACAAATTCAAAAGTTTACGAATGAAACCGTGGAAACCATTAAAGGTCTTGTTTCTTTTTTTAAAACAGAACTTATGCATTGTTTCGGTGATATAGAAAAGAACATGTTGCTTAGGGAAGCCACAATACTGGACCCACGCTTCAAAAAATCTGGTTTCAGGGATATAAGAAACTTCAAAGCGGCGGCAGCCGATTTAAAATTAAAAATTGGGAGGATAGTTCTTTCAGACGAACGCCCACTGCAACCAGCAGAGCCTGTCGAACCAACACCAGGTTGCTCAAAAGTAAGCTCACTTTGGAAACAGTTTGATGAAGAAGTGGCACGCCAGGTACCCGAAAATCCGGTTGCTGCGGGTATAGTAGAATTCGACAAGTATATGAATGAGCCGCAAATCAACCGACACTGCGATCCATTATTATGGTGGAAAGAACGGAAAGCCTTCCCACGCCTTCACTCACACATGCTAAAAAGACTGAATATAACAGCGACATCCGTACCATGTGAGCGGGTCTTTTCAAAAGCATGGTTAACACTTAACGATAGAAGAACGCGCTTAACTACAAAAAAGTTAACGCAGTTAATGTTTATAAGCTGCAACTGAAGAAGTCAGATGAAATGTAAATAATATTGTAAAAACGTATCTTAAACTTGTCGATTTATGTATATAGTAAAAAAAACGCTTCAAGCACAAAATAGAAGATTCTTGTAAATATAAAAAAATTATGTACCTATATCTTATCTTATCTTAACTTATTCAGCCGTTAACTGCTGCCGTCACTGCTGGGCAAAGGCCTATGTACCTATATAGTACGGAAAAAAACGCTTCAAGCAGAAAATAGAAGATTCTTGTAAATATAAAAAATAATGTACATAATGTATATGTGTATGAGTAATGATCAAAAATCATTGTATATAAGTTGATTTTTAAATACGCCTTTCTTCAAACAATCGAAGATTGCCAGTCCTAAGCCTGGATGGAGCCCCTTTTTGTTATTTTGTTCGTTCGTGGGCCTAAGTATGAAGGAAAATCAACTTTCCACTCGTGGTTAAATATGCGTAAATATACTCAACTGCATAACATACCTATTGCGGTCCGTGTACTATACATACATACATACATACCTACCGTACGTATATACCTACCTATCTAACTATTTCTACACTACACGATATCACAGAATAAATAATAGTTACACACACACACACATAAAACTTATTTGCTCAAAAAAGAATGTTCGATACGATATTCAAAATAATTACTTAAAACATGTTTTGTTGCATTACTTCTCAAGTGATACGAGTGTCGTCCATCGAATGTGATCGATAGATACCAGTACTATTGTCGGTACTCGGTTGCCTGTAATGCCAAAATCTCGAGTGATGTTTAGGGTGATGGTAATATCACAAAGTGATATCACTCTAACAAAAGTGATGTGTGATGTTGCATCACTTCTTCGGGTACCGTTTTGCGCATGTCTATTTATGTCGTCGCGTAATGGCCGCGGGCCGCGGCGCATGCCGCGACACATGGTGGGGTGTGGACAGATGACAGAGACGTCAAACAAACGTCAATCTAAATCCGTAGCTAGGCATGTCGATTCACTCTTAAAATAATCGATCTCTGAATCGATTTGAATCGATATTATTTTAACACTAGAATCGATTATCGATTAAATCGAGGATTAAAAGATCGATTTTCGATTAATCGCGACATTTTCAAACATGAAATTTCAAGAATTTGTGATTTTTTCTTTAATTGAACTTTAATACTTTTTAAATAAAATATTAGTAATCTTAATAATTAACATTACTAATATTCCTTTTAACCACTCCTGGTAAGCTTGAAACGCTTGTGTTAGAAGTGGTTTGCACATAAGCCACTCGATCCTTTTTTTACAAAGTGATTCTATGTATCACTTTTATTTGACATTTTAGGCTAGAAACAACAAAGATACTTTAACAAAAGTTTAAACTGCAACGTACATTTCTCGATAAATCTGTTTCAATCTAATAACTCACTATTTATCAAATTGAAGTGAATGCTACACGAACACAATACTGGTTATTTCCTTACTATTGTTACGCGCTCAAATCGACGATACACTAGCGCCATCTAGTGTCAGGAACGAGAGCGAGGGGAGCATTGAGAAAATGACATCACAAATGACTCAACCGACAGCGCCTAGTCGAAACTCGAACGCTCGGTACCTTGCGCGTGTTTACTTGAACATTCTGGATATTTCTTTGCTAATTTAAATAAGTAGGCGCTGCAAGATGCGATCGGAGTAGTGTTGATTTGGCGAAACAAGCGAAGCTTCGGAGTGGAATAAAGTGAATTAGTGTGTTTAATTATTAGTGTTTTTAACTTTAATTTGTGTAAAGTAAATTAAAGTGTTAATTTAGGTAATTTTATCGGCAATTTTTATTGTCACGAACCTCAAGCTCGTAACAATTGGTGTCAGAAGTGGGACTAAATCATGCCGATTTTACCTAAGGAGGAAACGGAGGGTGTTCGTACCCGCAGTCAACGCCAGCATGAGACGGACCAGAGGAGATTTGGTGGTGCAACGCCGCAGACGTCGGAGGGCCAACTGCCAGCCACGGAGACTGCGGGCCCGTCAGTAGCTCCTACATCTGCAGCACCTGACTTAGGTGCTCTGATGGCGATGCTACAGGAGCAGCTGCAGCGCGGACGAGAGGAACAGGCCCGTCTGTTGAAAGAGCAGCTGCAGAGCGGACAGGAGGAACAGGCCCGTCGCTTAGAAGAGCAGCTCAAACGCGATAGGGAAGAGCAGATGCTTCTCATGAAGGACCTTCACGCTACCTTCGGGAAAGAGATAAGGGAGGTGAAGGATAAGGTTGCTCAACATGATAACCGCCTGTCGGAAGCTGAGACCCAAATCAACTAAGTTAAGAAAACGCTGGATGAATTCAAACTTGGAGATGGAATTGCAGCCCCCGCAGTAGCTACTACACCTTCGTTACGTGGGTTCAAGGTACCACCGTTCGACGGGACTTCTTCCTAATCGGCCTACAAAATCCAGTTCGAGGCCGTCATGGAGGCAAACGGCTGGAATAAAAGCCAGGCCATGACTGCACTCACCTTAGGCCTGCGCGACCAAGCCTTAACCGTGTTGGAAGCTCTCGGTAAGAAAGTGACCTACGAACAACTCCTTGAGGCATTGGAGGCGAGATATGGCGACGCTCACCTGGAACACGTCTTTCGTGCGCAGCTTAAAGATCGTGTGCAGCACATCAACGAAAACCTGCAGCAGTGGACTCTAGAAGTGGAGAAGCTGGTGCGAAAAGCATACCGGTCTGTACCTGCGCTCATTGAAGGGAACCTGGTGCAGACATTCATCGACGGCATCCGCGACCTGGAAGTCAGAGCTGCTGTAAGGCTCGGGCACCACGAGACGCTTAAGGACGCCTTGGCCCATGCACTGGAAGTGGAAGCCGTGCGGCAGGATCATCGTTCCCATCGCGTCAGGGAGGTTGCAGCAGCTACAGTTCGCGATCGCAACAAAGGATACAGCCCAAGGTGCTATGGCTGTGGGGAAAAGGGCCATCTTCGATCCAGCTGCCCTAAGCGAACCCTAGAAAGGGAAATTGAACGATCTCAGGAGGGTAGTGCGGCCAACAGCACCGCCCAGCAGCGGCAGGGAAACGAGTAAAAGCCAGAACTGCGGGGCGGGTGCTGGCTGATGTTAAAAGAGCCCCAAGGATCTCGATCTCACAAACCCATGATGGGAACAGCCTAATCATAAAGGGCGAGATCAACGGAATGCCGTGTAAGCTGACCATAGACACTGGAGCCTCTCGTACGGTTGTTAGTTCCCAACTTATAAGTCAGTTCCTTGGGGACTCCGCATACAACCGAGAACGCATTAATTTGGTAACAGCCACCGGTCAGCGTATACCCGTCCGTGGAGAGAAGGAGATGGAGTTGAAGCTAGGCAACGTGATCTACCTGCATAATGTCATCGTGGCTGATATAATGGACGACTGCATCCTATAGTCGTATTTTTAATTAGACGAAGTCAACTGACGTTTACTGTGTTGTCAGTTTTTGATGAAATAAAAATAGTGTTGTGACAAAGTGAATGATTGAAAAACTCCTGAATTAATGAAATTGCCTCGATTGTCTAGTGAATAGTTAGTGTGCTGAACTGCCGATATCGGGTACGGGGTTCGAATTTTAGTCGTACTTTTTACATACCAACGAGTTTTCGACGACTATGTTCCTATAATATCTACCTATACTGAATACCGAGTGTTTTAAACATTAAGGAAAATATTGCGAGGAAACTTGTAAGACTGTCCTATTTTCAATACATCATGTAGTTGAAACTATAGATGTATAAAATATAACAATTATAGGTAGGTAATCAGAATAAAAAAAAATCGCTTATTACATAATTTGTTTTTATTCATTATCAGATAAAAAATCATCACTATCGCTTTCGGTGACATTAATTAAAAATCTGTCAGTAACATTGTCAATCATGTGGTCGAGACCATACATTTTGTCTTCTTTTTTAATTATATGAGACACGCAGCTATTCCATTTTTCAGGTGTGATATGTTGAAGTCCTTCTTCAAAAAGTTTTTTTTACTTCTGTCATTTTGAAGGTTTTGTTATTTCTTGCAACATATCCTTTAGCCTGCGCCCATACCAACTCAATGGGATTGAGCTCACAGTGGTATGGGGGCAGACGTAAAACAATTATCCCATGCTGCGCTGCCATCTCGTCCACAACATACTTATCGCAATGTTCTTGCTTGTGCTGCCGTACAATGTCTATAAGAGTAGCTTTAACCATTGTTGCTTCGAATGAAATATTTTTGCTCGTTAGCCACTCTAGTATTCTAGGTTTAGTCCAAGACATTTTAGGCAGCGATTCTAGTTTCCTGGAGTGGTTTTAGTTTTGGCAAGACACCCCAAAACCACTTCTCAAAGGAATCGGCATTCATCTCTTGATGATAATCTTCTTTTTTTTTGGCTTCAAATATTAATAAGCTGTCTTCTACGAATCCTTCTTCCCCGCCTATATGGCCGATAATTAATCGTTTGCCCTTTCCTGAAGGCTGTTTTAAGCCAGTGGTCAAGCCATCTAGGAAGGCCTGGCGGGACGATAACACTGTCTGGTCAATCCATGCCTTCTTCGGTGCATGACCTTCAAGATAGTGAAAAATATCAATTAATTATTTGAAAGTACAATTTAATGTAAAGAAAACAGAAAATTGTAATTACCTTCGTTGATCCAGGTTTCATCTTGGTAATAAATATACCTTCCTTCCCTTCGATACTCTTTAATTTTTCGAAGGTATCGCTGGCGCCATAGAATAATGTCCTGTCTGTCAATTAAAATGCTGTGTCTTGATTTTGTGACATATTTGAAATTTAAATGTTTCATAACATTTCTTAATGTACTCCAAGAAAAATTGGGTAAGTCTGGGTCTTCATTGACAACCTTAAGAATCTGTAAAGTAATAAAATATGTTTTGAGTAAGGAAGTCTACGCAATCTAATACTTTGGTTTTACAAAGAACATTATGGTGGACACAGAATATAATGCAGTAGAAGGAATAAAGTTTAAG